GGGGGGGGGGGGGAATGATCACCAGTAGCAATTACAGCATCCGCAAGGTTCGCAGCGCAGCAGCAGTACAAGTCGCAGTCGAACCAGCACAAACAGGAGCAAGTAGCGACAGTAGTCGATCATTGCGAACGGGCTTGTTTGTATGTAGCGCTGAGCTTACGATCGCGCGCGATCGGGCGCGGTCATCAGAGGTGGTCACACGGGTTGAATGAGCTGCTTGTTTTACTATTATATAGTAGATATCTAGTAGATGTCATTGCGCTGTGTGAAGAAGCTGCGGTTGCGTGTTGACACAACCTCCCACCCTCACAACCCACGCCTTCATCCAACCGACACGTTGCTTCTCGTGGAGTGAGCAGAACTACGTGCCACACGTCTCGAACGCGTACCGCTGGTGAGATTAATTTTACCGGCTGCTTACTGGCTTGCTGGAAATTACCGGCGCTGCTTGCTATCAAGTACCGCCGAAGGAAGATTTCTGCGCACACTCACACTGCCCCCTCCAGAAATAGCAAGCATGTGCATTCACGGGCAAGGAATACAGCAGTGGTACGATACACACAGATACGATCGGCGACATCCTGTAGTCTGTACAAAGGTAGGTATGTGGCTGTCCGCGGGCGTCGGCTCTCGTGGTTGGCGTAACAGCGGTGCGACACACCAACATGATCGGCGACATCATGTATGCTGCTGTGCTGCACGCTGTAGAGCAACAGAGCTTTTGTGGTTCGGAAGCAGCCGGACAAGCACATACAACCCACTGTTCTTGCAGCAGAATACTCGGGAAGGCACGAAAACCCTTTGCTGTGAACAATGCAAGGCCCCCAAAGGGCGGCGTCCAAGTCTACTTCGCCTTCTCTCACCCATCGTGCTGTGACACGCCAAGCAGAAGCCATTTCCCTTCCTTTTTCATGTCCCCTGCTTTTGCTTGGTTCTCTGCCCCGTCGCCGTTCCCACCGGCATAGCTCTCGTTGCTATCATCTGCAACGTAGACTTCCGCGGGTTGAGCTCCACCACGGAGACGAGAAAGTCGAGATAGCCGCACTGGATCCGGTTCGCCAGGGGGTAGCCGAGGGCAGTTAGAGCGAAGCGGATGATGCCGTTGCTGAAAGCCGCGAGCAGCGGCGCTGCGGCCTTGCAGCACTACTCCGGGCAGTAGAGAGGTACCATATCGACAGCATAGGGCCAAGGAAGACACGTACAGGATCACTTGTGTCCATCCTATGCCATAGAGATGATGCACCATGTGGCTTTCGCGGAAGAGGGGGATTGTGATAAAGGGTAACGCTGGAAGCAGCAGCGAGGCAGAGGGCGAGATAGATGCGGCGGAACGTTAGGCAGGCCCGCGGGGGGACCGGGGGGCCGGGGGGGGCGGGGGGGGCGGGGGGGGCCGCCCTATAGAGTTGCCAGCGTTCCCCAGCGTTTCTTTCTNGTTGCTTATTGAGTACGATAGGCATATATATGGTGTTCGACAGTCTTAATACTGTTTCTGTGACTCATGATTAGTGTCATCGAGTTGCGACCCTCAATNCCGCCCTATAGAGTTGCCAGCGTTCCCCAGCGTTTCTTTCTGTTCGAACTGTCACGATGTGGAAAAGAGGGTTTCGTCCTCGACAGACGTTGGGGAGTTTCATCCTTTTATGAAGGTGTTCTCCACATTACCCCCCCCTTTTTCGAGGCTTCTTCTTGTTTGCTACGCAAGAGAAGTCTTCTTGGGGTAACCGGAACCCGACCGGCTGGCGGCGAGTAGAACCACCTTTTTTCCAACANCTCGCCAGCATTTGACCCAACCAAATGCTGGATAGCAACCTTATTGTTGGGATGCTATTCCTTTCACCGTTTAGATACTTACTTTGGAAATGTATCTTTTGTTTGCCTTCGGACTTCGTTTACTTTTCCGCTGATATGGATGCCCTCTACTCTGGGTGAGAGGAGAGTCCGGGGTTGTGGTGGCTATGTCCTGCCACCGGAGGTTGGCTATTTACTTTGGTGCAATGTGGCGAGGAATGCCAAGCGTGACCGAGCGAACTCAGTCAAGCTAGGGTGGTGCGGAGAGTGTGGGTGAGCCTTCGTGGACTCATTCCCCATCCTCCTTAAGATTCATCAACTATTCGCAGCCGTTGGGAATCTGTAGGGTCATGACCCCTTGGGACCAACAGTGATCTATTATCACATATCCCTTGGATCTGACTCTTTATGTAAGTGTGTTCGTGCGTCGTCGGTTCGACTCCCGATTTTATCGTCGTGAGCAGACTCAGCATCACTGCTGTCGTTGTCCGCATGGCTCTCATCTCCGTCGGCAAGAGGACCGAAGGAGCCGATGCTGCTGCTGTTTGTGCTCGACGGGGTTGCTAAGCCCGCGGAAGCACCAGCATTCTGTCCAGCGCGCCTCGCCTTATGCTGTCCCTTTTCGGGCTTAGCGGCGGGCTTTGCTGCGGCTGTAGCAGCATCAGAGCGTTGCGACTTCGGCGGCTGTTGATTTTGGTTTTGCGTATTTGCTTTCTTTTTGTTGCCTCCCATGTTTCAGACTTGGGTTACGGCGAAAACGAAAAACGCTTCGTCGAACGCCAATATGGATGTCCTCTACTCTGGGTGAGTGGAGAGTCCAGGGTTGTGGTGGCTATGTCCTGCCACCGGAGGTTGGCTATTTCCTTTGGTGTAATGTGGCGAGGAATGCCAAGCGTGACCGAGCGAACTCAGTCAAGCTAGGGTGGTGCGGAGAGTGTGGGTGAGCCTTCGTGGACTCATTTCCCCATCCTCCTAAAGATTCATCAACTATTCGCAGCCGTTGGGAATCTGTAGGGTCATGACCCCTTGGGACCAACAGTGATCTATTATCACATATCCCTTGGATCTGACTCTTTATGTACGTGTGTTTGTGCTTCCTGAATCTCCAAATCCTGACCTCCACACTGAGTACTTTTCTTATTCACGCATTTTTCTGGCTTGGGACACAACGTGTCTGGCCTTGCTTTTTGCTTTGCGCGTTTGTACTCGGATCCCTACCTTCGTCGCGTTCTCGTTTCGCTATTTTCTGCGGCACTTCGGACGATTTCTTGGCGGGCGCGATGTCCAGATCATGTTTTGATCGGTATGCGGAAATCATTTCGTGGCATTGCGGCACTTCGTCGGCACGATACATCAGATCTGATTCAGGACCGTATCCTTTCAGTCTTAGACGATATCGATAGTTGTGCGGACCTTTTCGGCCTTGACCGCTTCGATGCCCTACCACTTTCAATACGACGTATCTTTCAATTTTCGGTTGATTTTCGTCGTTTGCTGTCAGGGCAGGTAAGGGAATGTGTTTCCCAAGGAATTATTCCGCCAGTTTTCCAAACTGTGGTGCTGGNTCGGCCTTGACCGCTTCGATGCCCTACCACTTTCAATACGACGTATCTTGCAATTTTGCAATTTTCGGTTGATTTTCGTCGTTTGCTGTCAGGGCAGGTAAGGGAATGTGTTTCCCAAGGAATTATTCCGCCAGTTTTCCAAACTGTGGTGCTGGTGGTTTTTTCCTTTCATAGTACTGCAAGATGCACGGATATTTCTCGTGTTTCATCGACTCGCTTCACCCTATACACAACTGACGACAGTTGTGAGCAGATGGTATATGGTCCTCGCCACGGTAAGAACAGCTTCGGATTTGGTCCATCTATATCCTGGTGTGGTCGATATACGTGTACCTGTTGACCGGGTTTAAAGACGGGGTACTGACTGCGGTAACTTTTCGTTTTTCGCAGCTTGCTTCTCTGCACGTTCCGTGAGGTTTCTTCGCGCTAGTTCGAAAGCAATTTGTAGATTTTCTCGTGTTTTTTGAGCAAAACTCTCGGTATCTGCAGTTGATCCTACATGTGGGATTCCGAGAATTACATCTACCGGTAACCGTCCTTGGCGACCAAACATCAAGAAGTACGGTGTCTCATGCATGGTTTTATCTCTTCGTCGACGCCATTGTGGAAAAGAGGGTTTTGTCCTCGACAGACGTTGGGGAGTTTCATCCTTTATGAAGGTGTTTTCCACAACGAGATAGATATCAACTTGATAGATAAGGACCCCCGTAACCCCTTTTCGAGCAGTCAGCGACCGGTCAGAGCGAGAAGAAGAATTTAATCCTCTCTCTTGAAGCGTAGATTTCTCAAATAACAGACGCATCGAGCGAGCAGATTAGTAACTTCTTCTTCTCTGTGTGACGTTGCTGGCGAAGAGAACTCCCATATGGCAAAGCTCACAGAAGAAGAAATGTATAATTGCCGCAAGGCGCCCGGTGAACGCGGCAGAAGCACCAAGTCACATAAATAGTGCGCATCTAATTACTCTGTACAACGGGACGTGGTGGTGCGATTGATTTTTTAACTTATCGGCGAGATACTCTCTGAGCGGAGAGGTGGGTCTGTCTGTCTCTATGTGTGCACCCACCCTCACATACATCCCGTCGCCTTCAGTTCATCATGAAGGTGCGCGCCAAGCTAACGAAGAGGGGTTGGTTCGTTCTACTATTATTCATTGAAGGGTTTACCAGGAATAAGAGGGACGGGGGCCTTCCATCTTGTTCTTGTTTTCCAACGTCTCCGCGCCAAATGGTACGCGCTACAGGACGACGGGCGGCAGGCGTTTCAGCTTGTGTAAGTACAATTGTCAAACTGGCTCTATCTACCAAGACGGATATCTGTAACATAGACGAACGCCTTGCTTTCGAAGGAGACACGACAGACGCTCTGCGCTTGGTCTTGGGAGACGAGGGTTCGAGTATCAGGGCAGTTTTCTGCGCGCATGGTGACCATTAGACTAATACACCCTCACAGGGCTTTCGGTAATGTAGCCAGCGGTTGTTCGGACATGATCGATCACTTCATGCATACTTCCAGCACGGTTTCCGGCAGATACGACAGCCGTTTCTTGTTCGAATCTCCCTGCTGGCTACCCCTTTTGCTTCGTAAAACAGACGTTTGAACAATAGGCTATATTTTCAACGGTTGGAGAGGCTGTACGCATATACGATGCGCTGTGCGAGACCATCGCCAAAACTACAGAATCAGCGGTGTCCAGAATCGGGCGTGTTCTGAACCAATCACAGGTAATAATGTTGCGTGGTCCATGCTCCCCGGTTGTTGAACAGACCCAAATTTATTTCGGGGTGACAGGGAGGAGGAGGGAGTACACACATGGTGGTCCATTGGATATCTTACCGGGGATATGCGGTGGTACTACTACTTCTATGCATGTAGTACGTTGGTTTGGCATCATCATCTCAAGGAGCCAGTTCGTGGCACGCGAAAGCTCAGAGCGAACATCAGTTTGGTGCAGAATAGAATCTGTGGATGAAAAAAAATGGACGGACGGGAGGATAGGATGCTTCAGCGATGTAAATTCACACCTGGTTGTCTATCTGGTCGTGACAAGTTTGATGTTGAATCGGGCTGTTGGATCGGGTGTCGCCCGCAGAGAAAAAAAAAAAAGAAAGTGTCAACCAACGGGCTGATCCCAACAAACGTAGAAATCATGAATGTTCGCACACACCCTTGCCTGCGGGGCCGCTACCTAAAGTGTGCGCGCACCATCGAGCACACACACACCTAGGTCCTCCGACCTTGCTGCCCATCTCCCACGCGCGGGTGCAACTGCTGCAGTGCCCATCATATCAAGAGGTCAAAACCGCGGCACAACTTTCAAGTCGATCCATCCATCGATATCTCCGAAGTGTGACATCCTGCTGTGTTTTTCGTCGGCATTTTTCTCACGACTTTTGACGCCCGGCAATAATTAGGGCCGAGACAACCCCCAGCAAAGGATCATCAGGCCCCCAACGACCAATCCGACCCTGGTGTCCCCTTCATAAGGCAACGACGACGCTGCATGCGGTGTACAGTATTTGGTTACACGCTCAGGATCGGCAGGAAATAAACGTCGACAAGGCCTGAACAGCAGGGCGAGGATTAAAGAGTCAAGATGGTACCGGTGTTTGACGAGCGTTGGGCAAAGTCGGGAAGTACCGTTGTTGCAGACGATCGCGACGACGCTGATGAAGCCTTCGCAAGAGCGAGGTGAGTGCCAACGAGCGCCTCTGACTTGTTTGTGGGTGTTATATTGGCACCAAGGCAATAAGTTGTTTCCGTTGGTCATGATCCACGCAACAACATGCCGTTGCGATGCGCACTGACTATTCCACACAAAATGTTCAACCCGCATCGCTCGATTGTATCCTTAGCGTCAATAATTCTGTCGCCCGCTTCCTCCCTTTCTTTCAGCCCACAATCCTGGATGCAGGAAAAGCTTGCCATGCTGCAGCTCCGCCTTGAGATCGACGGCGATCTCACCCGCTTTCAGCCCCCACAAGTGTTCGTCGTCAACATCGAGGACGGCGCAGTTGGGTCCCTGTTGCTAACGACGACCGAGCTGTTTTACAGTCACCAGGCAATCCTGAATTCGGCGGGTTGTTGCCCCAATGATTTATCTATGCCTTTGCCGTGCGACGTCCTTCGCGGGAGCGATTTTCGCATCTCCGAGCGGTACCGTTGCGTCGCGGACAGCAAAGGTCAAGCACAGGGGGGTGTGGGCTTCATTTTCGAGGGGTTGGACATGCTCGACGGCAGCAAGGTATGTACGCCCCAATTTCTCCCCCCGAGTTCCCGTGCGAGTCGTGTATCTTGCGCTCGTCGGCGGAGTAATATGTGTACCCAGATTGGCAAGAAACATTGATACTTTTTTATACCGCAGGAGGCGCGCTAGGGGGACATCAGCGACCGGAAATTGTTCCTGTAGAGCAGCGTAGGCTATGTTATGCTTCTGCTTAACGTTTTCGTGCCCCACCGCCGTTGTATCATACCACGCTAGGCGTGACTTAGTTTTATATTATTTCCTCTCGGCAGCGCCCGCAGAGAACCCGCCACGCGGGCTGTTTCTGCTAGCTCCGTAAGCACACCGAGGAGCACCGACTATGATGCGAACATTCTCCTTCCAACGAGACGCACCCTCCTTCCTCTCCTTTCCTAGCTGTTGACTTCATGTTCTTCGGCCGACCTCGTCATATCTCCACTTCATCCACCCCATACGTGCGACACGCCACGTTGAACTCGGACCAATCGCAGGTTGCCGTCAAGTTTTTCCACAAATCGAACGACCACGCCGCGACGATGCGGACGAATATGGAGCTCATCACGTGCCTGAAGCTGTACCACGGCCTCTATTCCCACTGCATCGACCGGCGCGACAACGTAGACCGCTGCCACCTCGTGAGGCTCCACGACGTCCTCGTTGATGCGCCCATCTTCGAAGAACGTAACGCCAACGAAGGCGGAGGCGGCGGCGGCGGTCGGGTGGCAGCCGGTCTTTCCCCCTCGATCTTTCGGGCAACGGTCATGGTGTTCGAGTGGGCGGACGGCGGGGACGCCCACTCTCTGGTGCGAGAGGCAGGTGGCGGGATACCCGCCGCCGACGGCGCGAGGCTGTTTCGGCAGGTCTTGCGGGGGCTAAGGGCTCTCCACAGAAGAAAAATCGTTCACAGGGACGTAAAGGTGCGAGTGAGTCGCGTCGGCAGGCTTGCTAAAACAGGTATTCTTGGAACATTCCTTCTTCCGAAATATGGTTTGCCATGATATTGCTTGTGTACCACAGCCCTTTATAAAGTATTTTGGGGTCCCGCCTCTCCGTGTAAAGCATGTCGTGTCTGCTTTGTTAGTGTGCACTGCCGCCCTCGGCGGTCTGTGGTGATGAGACTGGGTGCAATGTTATCCCAGGAACAGCAGACGAAAAAGGACCATGTATGATATAGACTATCCGTCACGCAAGCCCCTCAGGCAAGTGTCGGGAGCACACCGCCGTGTGCTCACCCGGGGGGACCGCACTTGGACCCCAACCGCAAGACATACCCATCAAATCCATACTTCCCATACACGTATCCCCCACAGAGGGTGCACAGATCGGACCCATATCCAAGTACCACAAACAGCCCCCCAACGTGATACGATGTACGATCTTGGAACCCTTCGCGCGCAATCAGCCAACACAGAAAAACACCCTTTGAGAAAACTTACTCAACAAAACTGGCTACACATTCAACACAAAGCGTCTCCATCAGTTTATTCACGAATCCAACGCGTTCGTCTCTGGAAATAATCTCAAACCGTTGACACAAAGGCATCATCCTCAGAAAGGTACCCAACAATTATTTGTGCTACATCAGATGGCGTCGGAACGAAAACGGATATTTCTGGAAAAAACAATTTTGCAAGAGTTGGCACCAAATCCTCAAACAAAACAAAAACTCAACTTCTTGACAAATCAAAACGAGAATTTGGAAAGCACAACGGCCCCGACCATTAATCGTCAAAACATGTCAAATCTTTCCTCCAATACAGTGTCCAAGGATCAAATCCTAAACAGCGCGCACCCGCTAATCGGTACCGTCGCTGTTGTCCAAGAAACGATAGAAAAAGTAGGCAAGCATCCACGCAAGCAGCCCCCCTGCTGTCAGCTCCCGAAATTCACCCCGAGCTAGTATCTCGATGCCAAAAGCCCCCTTGCTTTGCCGTTCACCTAACACACAAGTAGGCATGACCAGAAAGCAAACCGATTCGATTGCTGCTCATGCCCTCTAGAATCATGGTCATACGTGACATCCCCCCCCATGATTTTCGATGCAAGAGCAGCAAAGCATGCGGTACAAAGCAGAACATGAAAACACGTAGCACACAAGGCATCAAACTCCAGAAAAAGTTCGTACCGTATGCAAACTGTCTCCTCAACTGGAAATCCGAAAGCAACCCTGCTCCCTGATCGGTATGCCTTCATGCATGTCAAACAACGCGCTATCATCCCATTTCGTGCGCGCGGCCAGAAACACACCGCAGAGAGCGACCACTTAACTCAGGACCTCACATAAAAGCCAATGTATCGAAACATTCCAAGTGCAAAGTGTCCAGTTCGTAGAAAAAAAAACTCGACTGAACATACTCTCTCCAAAGAATACGGAAATAGCATGAAGCATTCAACTGCAAGGTTCAACGCCACTGAAAACATACCAAGAACCAAGGGAAAAAAAATACCCACGTGCTGCTTCCTATTCCACAGGTTGTGGCAATGATTATCTTGTCGCAGCGAACAATCATTATCATGAAACCAAGCAAAAAAAAAAAAAAATGCGCACACGCCGTGGCATACACGTTTTCTGCATCAAAGTGCACGGTGCGCTAGCAAGGGAAAAACAGAACAAAAAAATATATGCGAAGCCAAATGGCGAAGCTAAAACGTACATGCCTGCCCACAAAACCGAACAAAGTCGTAAACGTTTCACATGTTTTCCCACTTGGCTGTAACAAGGTGAGGTCGTCGCTGTCACCGTGTCCTCCTCGTGCNCATCAAAGTGCACGGTGCGCTAGCAAGGGAAAAACAGAACAAAAAAATATATGCGAAGCCAAATGGCGAAGCTAAAACGTACATGCCTGCCCACAAAACCGAACAAAGTCGTAAACGTTTCACATGTTTTCCCACTTGGCTGTAACAAGGTGAGGTCGTCGCTGTCACCGTGTCCTCCTCGTGCCCGGTCGACTCGAGGGCGCCACCGCTGCTGCCGCCGCTGCCATCGCCGCCGTTGCCGTTCCCCCGCCTCCACGACCGTCATGAGTTCCAGCGCCAACGGCTGCCGCTGACGTCGCTGCTGCCGCCTCTACCACCGCCGCCGTTGTCGCCGCTGCCGCCGACGAGGCTCTGGCCGAAGCTGCCGCTGCCATCTGCTGCTGCCGTCGGAGCTTGGCCGAAGCCACCACTCCCGTCGCTGCTCCTGCTGCCGCCGGTGCTGCCGCCGGAGCTCTGGCCGAAGCCGCCACTCTCGTCGCTGCTGCGGCTGCCGCTGTTGCCGCCGCCGGAGCTGCCACTCCCGTTCCTGCCCATATCGAAGGGATACGCAACCCCTGGTACCGCCCCCCGTCTCCTCGCGCCACACGAAGATGTCTTGCCGGGGTCGAAGGGGTGCGTCGGGGCTCCACTTCAGGTTTCATCCAACCCCACATCCCCGCTCCCATCACCGCCGCTTTCCTCGCTGCTGCTGCTGCTGCTGCTGCTGCTCATGTCCCCCTCAGCCTTCCCGGGGTCGAAAGGGTGCGTCGGGGCTCCACTCCAGATGTCATCCAACCCCTCGTCCCCGCTCCCATCGCCGCCGCTGTCCTCGCTGCTGCAGCTGCTGCTACTGCTGCTGCTGCTGCTGCTGTTGCTCACGTCCACCCCAGCACATTGGCTATCGAGCTCCTCCAGGACTGGCAACGGCGTTGTTGTCGCACCAACCGCTTCCTCCCACTCTTCGTCACATACCCCCGTCACCGGTGCCGCCGCCGCCGCCCCTGCGGCCGTCTCAACCTCCGACGCTAACGCGGCGACCGGGGACGCCGCTGCTGCTGTCGCCGCTGCCGTTCCCCCCGTCACCGATATCGACGCCACCGCCGCTGCGGCCGTCTGGACACCCAACGCCAACGCGGCGACCGGGGACGCCGCTGCTGCTTCAGACGAATGCTTGGGTTGTTGTGATTCCGCGGACGGCGAAACTACAACAACGTGATACGATCCAAGCATGTGTTCCTCCCCTACTTTTCTACTGCTGTATCCGCCCACNCTGCGGCCGTCTGGACACCCAACGCCAACGCGGCGACCGGGGACGCCGCTGCTGCTTCAGACGAATGCTTGGGTTGTTGTGATTCCGCGGACGGCGAAACTACAACAACGTGATACGATCCAAGCATGTGTTCCTCCCCTACTTTTCTACTGCTGTATCCGCCCACCATGAGATCCAGCTCATCGCGTTGCCGCACTACTGCAGGTGATGTTGCGGGCCGCTCGGGAGAGCGAGTGGTGAAGTGTGTGTTAACGTTGAGAGGAGCGACGTTGGCGGAGGCTTTTACCGGCAAATACACCGCAGACGAACCGGCAGCAGCCCCCCCCCCCTTCTCACCAACGAACACCCCACCACTCACCTGTCCACCTGCACCCCCGGTGAAGCCGTCCGCTAGCTGTTGTTGCCGCGGCTGTGGCTGAGAGTCACCGCCGTACACCACGCCTGGCTGCTGCTGCTGCTGCTGCTGCTGCTGCTGCTGCTGCCGACACACAGAACCGCCGCCAAACTCGCCGTTCCTCCGCTGCTGCTGAAACGGTCCGCGTCGGTTGTACTTCCAGTTGATCATTTCGTGGTTTGTGACAACAGAATTGTAGTTGCTGTTTGTTGTGTAGTTGGCAGTGGTGGCGCAGTTTGGGTAGATACAACACAGAGTGATCATTAGATCCAAAACACAGGCGCCCAAGCTGTCTTCACCTGACGGTTACAGACTTGGAGACACGCCTTCACAATACTGCACAAAACCCATGCAGTAGAATAGAGTCAGTTCTTGCATACAAATCCCAACATGTCCTCTCAAGAACTACGTCATGACTAGCTCTGATACATAAGACACAAAATTCTTTCTCTCAGTGTCCTCTCGAAACAAATACCAGTGTCCTCTCGACAAATGCTATCAACATGAATGCATGCTCTCGAACAATTCAAATTGAATACTCATCACTAACTGCCAGAGTTTTCTGGGCAGCGAATTCCATGTACCGTCCAACCCTTTTAAGACATATGGTCTGATTTCGGTAAGGGGA